AGAAGCAAGAATGACCCTGACAGCATATTCTAACTCAATAATCAATGAAATATGGCTATTTTCAGAGTCACAACAGGGAAACCAAGTTGCCAGTGGAGTAGGTGGAAGCTACACTAACCTCCTCTCAGGACCAAAACATAATTACAACTGAATTATAGAAAAATCATCCCAAATAAGCAATTGCACTCTAGCTGGAGAGAAAAGGACTTACAGAAGAAACCACTTCACCACCACAAGTACTGGTAGGGAGTACAGAGACTCGAGAGGGCTGGCCGGGCTCCCATATGTGGCAGCTGAAGTTCCAGAGGGATACCTGAGCAGCCCATGGGTTCCCCCTGAAAAGTGTAGGATCTAACACCAAGCTAGGCTCCCTTACCTAGAGCACCAGAACTAAAAAGGGAACCCAAATGACATCCCCCTGTGTGATGCAGTAGGGTTTCTGTCTGCCAGAGAGAGACAGCTGGAGACTGAGAGCCTTTTAAAGGGCCAACACTCAGAATGTTGTTCACAGCCACTTACCTGGGCTCCAGCAAAAAGGAGGACAAACTGGACTAGAAGTGCTTGAGGTCAGCCTGGGGCTGGAGGCCCTGGGGAGAGAGCTGTAAGGTCAGCCACCAGGACCCCTGTGCTGACTCACTCCTCATACTGCAGAAACCAGGGCAGAGCACACTTCTCCAAATGGCAGCAGCCTGAGAAGAAGCCAGAACCTTGTCCTCAGGAATTACTCTGCCTCAGCCTGGGGAGCGTAAGCCTGGCTACCCATGGGGCGAGCTGGAGGCTGTTGCAGAGATCCAGCCTAACAGAATCTGTTGATACTCGGTGGAGGGAGCAAACATATATAATGGGCCAAAGACAGTTTATTCAATAAATAGTGTTGGAAAAATTGAGCAGATACATGCAGAAAAATGAAAACTATACCAACTTTTTACACCATGCACAAGAATAAATTCAAAATGGACCAAAGACTTAAATGTTAGACATGAAACCATAACCTAAAAGAAAACATAAGTAGTAATGTCTCGGAATGGCTTGTAGCAATAGTTTATCTGATATATCTCCTTAGGCAGGGGACACAAAAGAAAAAATTAACAAATGGAGCCACATCAAACTAGAAAGTTTTTGCATAGCCAAGGAAGCTATCAACAAAATAAAAAGAAAACCCACCAAATGGGAGCACATATTCACCTACACATCTGACAAAGGGTTACTATCCAAAATCTCTAAAGACTTATAAAACTCAACACCAAAAAAAAAAAATCTATCCAATTAAAAAATAGGCAAAGGACCTGAATAGGAACTTCTCCAAAGGGGACATCCAGATGGCCAATAGGCATACAAAACTATGCTTAACCTCACTAATCATCAGAGAAATGCAAATTAAAACCACAATGAGATAGCACCTCACACCAGTCACACCAGTCAGAATGGCCATCATCAGTAATCAACAAACAACAAGTGCTGGTGAGAATGTGGGAAAAGGGGAACCCTTTTGCACCGTTGGTGGCAATGCAAATTGGTGCAGCTGTAATGGGTATAGACGGAGGTTCAGGACAGGGTGAAGGCCGAGAAGCCCCAACCCCCCCCAACAGCTGTTGCTTGGGGGAGGGAGAAGTGGAGGATAGCCCTTAAAAGTTACTTTGCATATCAGTAACAGCTGGCTAGCTTTATAGACGGGTTAAATTAAGTAGCTGTGGCAGATGCTCGGAGCCAGGGAGATGGGCATGACTTGGACCCGTGAGGTAGCTGGAGGGGCTTGCTGTGCCTGAAGGAGAACAGGGAGACAATTCCGCTACATCATGGGGCCTCGCTTGCCCAGACTAACAATGGCAGTGGAGAAAGGCTAAAGAAACCAGAGTACTAACACAGGTAGCCAACTGTGGGAAGAGTCGGAAATGGGGTTACTGAGAAGAAGCAGGGTGAAGATTTAAACTCAAGAGCAGGGCAGCGCAGCGGTGGGCTCTTAACCATGCAGCTGGGGAAGGAAAAGTCTCTTTGTCCATGTGGCCTGGGAAGGAGAAGCAGTCCTGGCCACTCAATTTAGAAAGGGGAAGAAAAGCAGGATGTAGTTTATAGTGAGGAAGGAGGCCAGGCAGCCTGGGGAGCTACAAAGGACTTCCTTGCAAGATCCTATCCTTCTACACCTGGATTTTACCCGGACGGTTAAGAATTGTGCCTTTCCTGAGCTTCACCATGATCCAGAGTAACACAACACATGCCTTCCTAGACTGTTAAAATGGAGGCTGATGGTCACGTATCCCAGACCCTGAAGGAGACAGCTTCTGTGTAGGGATGGTGACTTCGATCCAGAGAGACTGGAGAACTGTTTGCGCAGCTGGCTGAAGATAAGGACCTGGGAAACTTATGCAATTTCTGGCTCATGGCCTGGTGGGGAGCATGGAAAGTGATGGGTCTCCTGGGAAAAGAGGGCTCCGAGCCGAGGTGCTCTGAGCCCCACCAGGGTTGAAATGTTGTGAATAAAGACTTGCTCGTTCCCGCATTCATTGTTGGATCTTTCACCAAGGCACTACGTGGATGGGCCCGGGTCTGCTCGCTTAGTCTCGGTGAGCTCTGCAACACAGCCACTGTGGAAAGCAGTACAGAGATATGTCAAAAATTTAAAACTGGAACTGCCTAATTACCCAGCAATTCTACCTCTGGGAATTTACCGGAAGAAACCCAAAACACAAATTTGAAAGAACATAAGCGCCCTTACGTTCATTGCAGCATTATTTACAATCAGCAACATATGGAAGCAGCCAAAGTGCCCATTCTCAGATGAGTGGATAAAACAACTATGGACATTTATACAGTGGAATACTACTTAGCCATAAAAAGGAGGAAAATTTTATTCTTGTGATAGTATGGATGGACCTGGAGAACATTATGTTAAGTGAAATAGGCCAGTCAGAGAAAGACAAATAATATATGATTTCACTCATATGTGGAATCTAATAAACAAACTGAAAGAACAAGCAAAATAGAGATAGACACATAGACAGCAGGCTGACATTTCTGGGGTGGGGGGCATTGTTTAGAAGGTGGAGGGATTAAGTAAAAAAAAAAGGGACTCGTGAACTTTGACAACAGAGTGGTGATTATGGGGGGCAATAGAAGGGGAACAAATGGTAATGGAGAAAATACAATAAAAAAAAAGTAAATACCTACATACATAGAGAAAGCTTCCCCCACCCTCAAAAAAAGACTCACAGTGATACAGAGACATCTGATCGGATCACTGGGGAGGCAAAGGGAGGGGCCGTAGGAGGAGATTACCCAAGGCAATGGTAAACAAGCTAAGAAGCTGAACGCCTCCAGAGTGCAAGGAAAACAGTCCAGAAGATTTAAAATGAAAGGAGGGCAGGGACTGGCTCTTTGCTCGCTTCCTCGAGGACTCCTGGGAGATCGGGCTGCAGCTGCCTGTGTCTCCCAAAGGATGGTAATCTGGGTGGGAGAAGAAACTCTGGGTGCAGCCTAGGATCGGGCTGGCCTGGCAGGATTATGTTCCTTTGGGTGTTCTAGGGGGACAGGCTCAGAGGCAGAAGCCTGCCATTCTTCCAAAATTGTGCAGCTTTTGTATCTTATGTTTTAGTTTGTAAACTAATCCAATAGAAACAAGATAATTAAAAACTAATGGAATGATAGGGGAACTTCTGAGTTAAAGAGTTTAACCTTAATTAATAGGCTTAACTAACTAATGCTCGAGGAAAGCTGTTACTCCAAAGTTGCCTAGCTTTTGAAAGAAGAGTTCTTTCCTTTATCACCAAACCTATGCCTCCAGAATTTTGCCGGTGGGCAACAGGGCCCCACTGGCTGTTTGGTAACAAACAACAGTTCAGGAAGCTGCTTCTCTTTGCCTTCCTGAATGAATTATGGAAGTACATCGACAAATGAACCTACAAAGTAAGTGGGGAATGCATGAAGCAAGAACCCCTAATTTTCAAGAATGTCTCAGTTAGAGAAAATAAACCACAGTTCAAGCCTTAAAAATTTCCACTGAATAATTTTCTGGGATTTTATGTTTCGCCAGCTGACAGTAAGAAAATAAAACTAGAGGTAGTTTATTACTTACAAAGATAATAATCATAATCACTAGTATTTTTAAATACTGTATATGTCAAGAATTCTTGTAATTGCTTGTTATGCACGAATTCACTTACCCATCATAGCAGCCTTATGAAAAGAGCATTGTTTTCTCTAGTTTATGCTGAGAAGAAGCATAAAGAAGCACCACTCCTCACCCGTGGTTAGATGACAAGTAAGTGTCAGAACTGAGACTTGGATGCAGATGCTCAAAGTCCTGAGGCCGCCTACTTAGCCACTAAGCTCTGTAGGTCATCCACCCCTGCCTTCCTTTCCTCACAGGGAGGCTGGTGCCTGCGACCCATTGCCAGGATCCAACCACGCTTCTGCAGCCCAACTCTCCAGCCAGTTCAGTCACCCCCCAAACTTGGGGTGTCTTAGTTCCTAGGTCTTAAATTATGTTCTGTCTGCCTCTGACCCACTCAAAGCGTAGAGTGCAATTTGAAGTAAACACCCTCCTGCTGTGTTACCAGTCCATTTCATTCCTCTGAACTCTCCAATCAACGACTATGACCTTGATTCTGTGTCCAGACCACTGGATTTGCCATTCATTCCTGATGTTCTTAAGGTTTAAACACCAGTGTGCAGAGGAAGCTGACTCAGACTGTCCTTGAGAATTGCTACACCCTCTGCAGCCATGCAAGGTAGCTCTAAACCACTTCACAAGAGCCCAATTCTACCCCAATGGTGGGGCTCCTTGTAGGAGGGGCACTCATCCCCTTGGCTGTTTTGTTCTGACTTGTTTTCTTGCTTCAGACAAATGAGCCCAGTGCCTGCTTCCTGGGGACCAAGCTATAATAGGTCTTGTGATCCAAAGACCTACTGGAATGACAGCAAACAAATGGTTGCATGGAAACATGTTTATTTATTATATATTTGCAATTTCACATCAGTTACAGACACATCTGTGTGATGCATAATGTTATAAATTTACATGATATATATTTGTTTATTGTTCAATGTTTTTTTTCTGGGTTTTTATCTTATAAGGGGATAGAAAAACACCTAAATATCCTTCCTCATTAAAACAAATAAATGCACTTCCTTAGAAAGAAACAACCAATCACCTGTCTCTCTCAATCACATTAAATAGACTATTAGCAATAATAAAAAAAAAACTATATAAAATAATAAATAATACAACAGCACTTAGTGCTATAAGATAAACTAAGAGGGAGTACTAAATAATACAAGTTCCCATTTTAGGAGACCAGATAATTAATAGGGGTATAATGTTATGATTGACAGCTGTCTGGCTATTTCTGTATAGTGCATAGTGTAGGCTGTTGAGGAAGACAGAATACATAGAAAAAGTCCCTAAGTTGTTGGTGCTAATAGCAATTCTGAGGCTTATAGCTCCCACTGCAAAATCCTGTATAAAAACAGAACCTTCCAACTTTACGGTGAGGCGAATCTGCCGAAGAAGAGGATGGTCCTGGTCGGTTTGTGCATTATAAAGAAAAGGAAAGGATGATCCGCCACAAACTGTGGGCCTCCGTGGCCAGTTCTCCCTGAGATGATGGCCCCGGTGCCAGCAGTTGCTTCAGTGCCCTCCTCGTTGACATCCACGGTGGCTTGATGAAACACTTCGGACAGAAATAGGTCATCCTCTTCTGACATTCCCAAGAAATTGGCCTGGCCCTTGACGAAGGCATCGTTCATGCCCATGCTTCTGAGAATGGGCTTGAGTTCATACTGCTCTTCTAATCTGAACTGTGGGAGGTAGACCTCAACGTCATCCTCGGCCATCCTGTCCTTGCTGGTCCACGTGTTGAGTTTGTCATACGTTATTTCACGTTCCAGCTACAAGTCCAAAAATTAAAAAAAATAACCAGTGAGTGTTTAGAAGAGAAGGCAAACAACTTCTACATGTAATGTTTAAAATCAGTGACGGCACAGTGGGTGATACAAAAATTTAAAAGACTGGTCAACTTGTGGCAAGAAGGGAACATGTTTGTTTAAGATTTTGAATGAAAGTTTCAGACATGCCACACTTACTATCAACTAATTCACACAAATATCTGTAAATAATTGTACACCATTCCCTAAGGTGTAGACATGTTCATCGCAAAAGGTAGGTTTAGGCCCAGAAGTCTAGAACACTTAGAGTTGGAATGGCTCACCGACTCCAAGCCAGTTGACACATTCGCAATTCCATCTGGAAGCAGCAGGAACATGCTGACATCTCCAGCGTAAGGGAGCTCCAGAATCTGAGCCTTTAGGTCCTCTATGTACCCAATGTTCAGCGTCTCACGCAAGTACATCATCCGTACCGGCTTCTGCTGAGTCTAAAGTGATCAAAGAGTAAAATAGAAAAGTTAATACTAAGATGTCAAGAGATTTACAATTAGACATGAAAGAGAAGAGGTTCTGCTTTTGTGTTTAAAAAATCAACAAAATAAATTATTTGTATACAGTACTCCATCCTTATCATCCTTTTCAATATTACGCCCATTATGGACAATAATAATACCCCTAAAACATTTGCTTAGTACCTATCGTGGGCCAAGAACTCTGCTAAATCTCACCAAATCCTTACAACAACCTTTTGAGTTGGGTATCATTATTAACCAAGTCTTATTGATTAAAAAATGGAATTCATGGAACATGCAGAAGGTTGTAGCTTGTAAGTGGTAGAGCCTACACTGGAGTCTAGAATTTAAGCACAGGGTCCATGGTTTTTCACCATTACTCATATGACCTCATAAAATTACTGAGTGATACTCAGTCGCTTAAAAGAGTCAATCAACTATTTGATATCCATAACTTATAACTAGCACATCCCATAGCAGCATCAATGAGTGGTCTCCAGTCATTGTTTCTCTGTCTTGTCTAAGAGCCTACAATACACGTTGGGAGAATCTGCCTGGTCTCATACCGAGTTCACACGGAACGGATAGAGCCCATTTAATTTCTTCTCAAATGCAGTTTTCCATTTTCCTTTGAAGTACACAGCATTCACCAGGACCATCTTGGTCCCTGAATCCACGGAACCTTCTGGTAACAAGTTTGAAATTTTACCTACAATAAAAATGACATGTTTAGGTTTCATTTATGGCCATTCCACGCAATGCGGAAAGAGAACCTTCGCGTGTGCTCTAGTTAGGCGCTTTGTTTTTACTTTCACTTCTGTTAATTTTCCCTTTTCCTGCCTCTTTTGTGGCAGCACTGTGTGGGTATTTTACAATAGTGGTTTAAAAATGCAGAACGGAAATGAAGAAGTGATATAAATAGTTTAACTGCTTTCAAAGGAGCAAAAATCTTTCTAAATTCTATAGAACTTAGTTCATGTGCTTTTTTTTTTTTTTCATTTTGGGAGTTAAGAAATCAAGACACAAAACTATTGCTTGAAATGGTGTTTGAATCCCAGAAGTTAAGAAAATTGTGGTTTTTTTGGTCTACGGTGGACCAAGTGTCACAGTTATTTCAATACCAATATTTCCTATGTTTGAAAACAGCTGCCATCTCTCACATTCTTTACTGATGAGATACACAAAATCCAATTATTTGAGTACTGAACACAAGTCTTCTATTAGTAGACCTCAATTAAAACACCACTGAGCTAAACAAGAATAAGGTTGCATTAACTAAAATAACTCAGTTTGAGTGAATTTGAAGGGATGAAGGGCTAACTTCAAGGATGGTTTAAAAAATAGATCAGAGTTTTCTAAGTGGAAAGAAGAACAGAAAACATTTCCTTGGTTTTACCTTTGGTTTGTGTCTCGACCCAGAAATTAATCTTTTTTCTGGCTCCTTCAGCACATTCTAGGAAGTCAACCTCCTGGGGTTCTGCAGAGTAATATTTCTTAGAGAGCTGCATGTATTCCTTTAAAGCAAGAAAAGTGCAGAAGGTTACGTAGAAGGTCTATTGAACATGCCTTGGTGTGAGTGTAAATTATGGGCTTCCTGTCAAGACTGGGGCATCTGAGGTCAGGGCAGGGGTGGAAGCTGGATCGTGTGTTGAAAGAGGAGATGGTACAGGTTAAACACCCTCAGTGGATCCCGTTCCCTACACGTACATGGAAGCTCCAACTCTCTTTGCCCCCAGCGCGCTTCTCATTATAGACACTAAGTCAGAGGGAGCTGGCTGCAGGTAGTGGCTCTGGGAGTCAGTTTTGTTCATCTTGACTTACAACCCTGCAAGTGGGGCTTTTGTAGCAGCACCAACAGGGAGAAGCACAGGGTCACCTGCCACGACCAGGGCCCTAGGGGGCCTTAGGGAGCCCTGTGCAATTCTGACTCTCCCAGTGGGTGTGAATCCTAGACAACAGCTTTGAAAGTGACCTCACTGCAGGTTCCGGGCCCTGCTGTTTCATTGACGGGGTTTACTTACTTTCCTGAATCTTGCAGACTTCTCTCCGAACAGCTTATTGACACTTTCCAACATGTAACCCTCCGTGGGTGTGTTGATGGCAGAGATGAGAGTGCTGAAGCCGGAGTGGATCGTGTCTTCCTCCTGTGCCTTGAACAGAAGGGAAGAATCCTCTTTATGTGACACAGGAAGGCATTTCTCAAGCAATGGCATTTTTTCCTATGCAACAATAAAATGCTGTATTACTATATACTTTTTTTTCTGGTACTTTAGAGGAATCCCTGAGGAAATACTCTTGATGTGGGAATGGTGCAAAACTAACAAGGTAATGTTTTATTTGTTTCATATTTCACCTATGGATTGATTGGATTTGACCATGAAGTAGCCAACATCCTAGAAGAAAGGGAAGCTCCTGTTACTGTCTCCTAAACTTGAAGGTCTCTAAGGAACTTTTATTATATTAAAATGTTCCTTTACAAATGTTCTTTAAAAATTCATATGACTTTGAAGAGGACTTCTTTTATAATGAAGGGAGTGGTCAAGGCAGTGGGAAACACGGGTTTTAGAAAACCACGAAAGTAAAGGGGAATTCCAGTCTATAGCCTAATGTTTGTGAACTTGATGACAGACATGGGGCTCAGTCACAGCCGAAGACAGAGCCCTGCAGATGACTGCCAGCTGTCTCCAGACACCTGGTGAACGTCCATATATGGGCCCTTTCCACCTCCACCCATAATCCCCTGGGTAACAGCTGGATGAAGCATCAGTGGTCCCAAGAATGAAGCTGCAGGAGATACCCTCCCATAACCTTACTCAGGAGTGTAATTATGGGAGGTGTCCCCAGGAGAAGAATACCTATGTCCAGTTCCTATAATTTAGCTGCGTAGCTGGTATTTAAGGAATGCAGTATTGAGAAAACATAATGCTACTTGAGATAGATGGATAGACAGCCAGAAAGATAGATAATAAATGGATAGACAGAGGGCTATGGGAGGGATATCCAAAGGTCATTGGCCTCTCAGGAAGTCGTTGAGCCTGACTTTCTCCATTCCTCAGCTATTTGTCACTCCTTACCCTACCCCTCTGGAAGTCTGCCTTCATGCAAGTGTACTCCTGGGGTCTCCTCTGCCATGGCTTTAGAATAAATTACACAAACCCAACTAGCGGCAGAGGGGTTAATGGAATTTTGGAAGTGTCTTGGCCTAGAAGTCAGGAAGTCTAGATTCTGCTCTGGCTTTGTGCTTTCTTAGTGGTGGGGCCACAGAATATTGACTTAAGGACTGGGAACCTTCGTTTTTCTTTCTGGGAATGGGGGCAGTTGTACTGGGTTTTCTTTCAGTCTAATGTTGTGATTGCAAGGCAAGAAGATTATAGAAATAAAAAAACAAAATAAATATGAGTGAATAAGTCCAATACCTTCAAAATAGCATCAGGATAAGTGACTCTCTGGATCTGCTGTGTGAATTCACAACCGGTGATGTTCTCTGGGCTCATTGAGGTGACCTCCTGGGCCTCAATGTTGTTAAACTGGAGCACCTACAATGAGAATTACGGGGAATGGTTATACGTCCCTGCTAAATTACTTAACCTTTACATTGCTACCAACAGGCACCTCTTAGAAGTCCTATGTCCAGTGCCCTGCCATTGTGTATGGGGTACAAGCATAGGTACTTTTTCTGTGTAATATGTAAGTGTCAGCCAACTGAAGTTTCCCTCACAGCAATCAGTAGGAGGTATTTATACTCATCTACACACTAGCCATTAGTCTCTAAGCTCAGAGAGCTTAAATGCCTTCACTCACACACCTCATTCCAGTGGCAAAGCCACCAGACAAAGATAGGAGGTCTTGTTCTCGAAGCTTGTGCTTCCCCCTCCAAGCCAAAGATCTTCTCCTCCTGATTTTTAGTAGAGAATTGACTAAATTTGCTTTTGAATTTTATTTAATTTCTAAAAGATTTTATTTATCCATTTCTAGATAGAGGAGAAGGGAGGGAGAAAGAGAGGGAGAGAAACATCAATGTGTGGTTGCTACTCAAGTGCCTCCACTGAGGAACTGGCCCGCAACCCAGCCATGTGCCCTGACTGGGAATCCAACTGGTGACCCTTTGGTCACAGGCTGGCACTCAAACCACTGAGCCACACCAGCCAGGGCTGCTTTTGAATTTTAACATGTGTACATGCAGCAGAGTTACAAGAAAACATTATAAAATGTTTGCATAGTCCCACATGCTCTAGCCCTTTCCAGAGCAAGAAAAGGTTTATCGTGCCCAGCATGAGCCGTAAGGTACTTTATTTAATTTCAGCAACCTAGAGTGCTTCACTTAGCATTTGCCCTCAAAATAGATTGCTTCTGAGTGCTAGTGATTTCTTTACATTTAAAAAACTAAGACCCTGGTGGTTTCTGAAGTTTTAGTGCAGGTCACTGTCTTTTTTTTTTCAAGGCAAAGAAAATAAAGGGGAAGGAAGGTTGCAAAATGTTGCTGGTGTCAGGGTTGAACAACTGAGTATTGTTGTAAGTCTTGATGTTTAAACTGCCACAGATGTGAAGAGTGATGCATCCAGCCCTTTCCTTCTGCGGGACATTGGCCAACATTTTCTTCTCCAGAAAGACCCATCCTTAATGGGTCCCCAGGGACCTGGGAAGGACATATATGCACTGAGGTACAATGCTCATGGGAGACATGAAAGTAGCCAGCAGCATTTTGGTGTGACCGAAAGTACAACACATGCCTATAAGAAACCAGAGCGATCCAATGGTAACGTTTGCGTGCATGTGTACAGGAAAGAATTTTAATTATAGGGTGAACTCGTCTGGGTCTCTGACCTGGGAAATAACAGGATCATGTGTCTCTTCAGTGTGTTGAATTCATCTCCTAGGAATATTGCCGTGTGCAGTTGAACTGGTCCAGTGTAATTTCAGGACCCTAGACTCAGCGAAAGAGTCCCCTGACTGAGCTTGTGTCATTTCCCGGAAGGAGGCCAGCTGCCCACACCCCGTACATCTTGATTTCAAAAACTGACCATCGGGTCAGGCCTCATTTTGTTGACATGATCTCACGGGGTTGATTACATGGGTGAGTCAATGTTGCTCTCCGTGTGTCTCCAAGAGCATAGCCACCACAGCTCTAGGACATTCTCTTCTCTTTGTGACACTCTCTTAAAACCATTAGGAGGAATTCTCTCCATGAATGGGACACGAACACTGCACACTGGCGGAGCAGTGGAAGGGGTCTGAGCTAGCAATGAGGGCGGCTTACAAGGCCCGGGAAAAGCGTTTTCCTCGCAAGGCCCACCTTCCCGCCTGCAAAATGGCACTTGTCTTACAACCAAAAGATATAAGGCATGTAAGACACTTTAAAAACATAAACATTATATTATTACAATGCAAGATGTGGTCACTATTCATCACTTCCAGCCCTGCAGTACAAGGTACTCTGATAAGCTTCTGCTATCTCCAGTTGGTGGTTTGTCATCTGGCTCTTTGGCAGATTTGAACCTAAGGAACTTGTGTTGTAAGGGCAGGACAGGTGTCCTTGCCACAGCTGGGCGTGTGATGAAGGCTGACCTTGAGATAGTCAAGACATGTTGAGCACACAATCAGAGCGATTCCGCAGCTCAGTGCAGCCCTCGTGTGGAGCTTCCACAGAGACTCACCCTGGCCATCTGGTCTGCGGTGTTGCCTCTGGCCCCCATGTAGACCATGACCATGGTAGACGATATGCCCCATGGGGAAAAGAAGAGGTTCTGGGTGGGGCTTGTATTTGCCAGATGCTTGAAGAAGTTGATGGCAAAGATGGTGTTTGCCACATAAATGTCTTCCATCATGTCAACCTAAAAGGAAAGTAAGGAAGAAAATACAGCTCTAAAAGATGAGGCAATATTTGGGGTGATGTCAGCAGAGGGGTACAGGCCATACCCTGCCCAGGGCAGGAGTTTCCTCTCTTTTCCTCCTTCTTGGGAGAACATGAAGTACAGCAGGGACAGCATTCGGGTCATGTGACCTGTGTAGCCACATGGTGCAAAGCTGTGCCATCACCGTCTTAAAATTTCAATAATTTTAAAAAAGGAGTTCTACATATTCTGTTTACATTGGATTCTGCAAGTTATGTAGCCAAACCTGAGATATAGTGAACAGTTACATGAGGCATAGCGATACTCCATATAATAAAACTGATAATTACCAATAGCATAAATAGTGTTTACTGAATTCTTACTATACAGGAGAGGCTGTTTGAAACGCCTTACCTGTACTTTTTTGTCCCTACAGAAACCTATGAGGAAGGCACTGCTAATTCCTCCTGTACCAAAGAAGAAACTGCTGCACGAAGTGGATGAGAAGAGTGACCAATGTCACTTGTCTACAGGCCAGACTGGGAATTGAAGCCAGGTCAGTGGCCGCCCCCCGGTCATGCTTTCAACCTCTATCCAGCCCCCACAAACACATACCACACACACAGGCAAATCCGCACATATTCAAACGTATCCTACAGGCACGCACATCCGTGTTGGCCCCAGTTCAAATGTCCTGCTTCTGGAAATGGCTTAGACTCATTGTTTGAGGGTTGGAGTTCTCATAGTCCCGCCTCCCACATCTGCCCCTCCACATACACATGCACACACGTCACAGCCTTGCTGCAAAAGAGCTTCTTATGCTGCGAAGTTCATTTCTTGAGATCCTTTCCTGCCACATGCTAGCAGGAAAGTCAGTGCCAGGTAGCACCACAGGACTGATCCTGGGTACGTCTCTCTCTCACACACACACACACACACACACACACACACACACACACACACGCCAGATCACCTGTCTGCACAAAAATGGCAGACACACTTCTCATGGCCAAAGGCTTCACCTGCAGCCAAATGCTTGGACACACCCAGGTGGGTGGAGGGATCTGTTAGTCCTTCCACTCTGTATATTATGCTTTTGTGTTGGCTTATAACATGCCCTGCATTTACCGGAGTATACAAATATACCAAACAACACTGACGCTCCTCATTCCACAGCAAACCTTCTTGTGAAGGTGGTTTCCTGGCTGGGGAAGAACCAAGGGGACCTGGGGAGCCCCCCAGCCTGCTAAGGCACACCCTGGGCCCTCATCAAGGCTCACTGGGCACGGCTTCCCACAAGGCCAGCTGGCACCTCTCCACCTCATCCGTGGGTGTCTGATGTGAATGCAGGGGTCATGAACTTTTCTTTTTAAGAAAGCGATTGCAATTTGTATCAACTTTCTCCTTTGAAAAACCATCCTATTGTATTTTATCAAGACAAAATAGTAAATTAAGTAAAACTTCTCTCTGAAACTTTCTCACATCTTCTCATTTGATCTTCACAAGATCTCTACAAGATAGATACTGTTATCTTCATTAAAAGTATAGGTTCCACCCAGACACTCAAAGAGGTTAACTAACTTGTATAAGGTCAGTATGGACGTAATGGTTCCGGGTTCAAGCCCAGGTCTGCTTTGGAAAGCCGCTCTACCCAATGCCCCACACTGCCCCACCTGATGGTGTTGAACTTGATTCTGATGTGTAAGAGATTACATATGTTACTAGTTTGAGAAATACTAGAAAAAGAAAATAAAAAGAGGAAGATTGCAAGTTTTTAATGCTCCTAGAAGACTTTTTAAGTTTTAAAAAAATACTACCTTTTTTTTCTCTTGCTTCATCACTGAGATTAGGTTAACTTGAGTGGCTCAGAAATTTGTTCCCTCTTACTTCTACTGATTTTAAATGGTCTTTTAAATTCGTTAGTCTTATTCAGAAAATATTTGTTTGTAAAACGTCTCAATGTTTTGGAAACAAACTGAGAATTAATAAATAAAATATTTCTGTATTCCCACTTGAAAACAATCGGAATCAGAAGAGTAAATGCAGGCTTCTCTCGGAGCTTACTCTACACAGTAACCTGCTTCGTCAGTCAGCGGGACACCAACAGGATGGGAGGTCAGGACCGACTGTCAGATGGGGCTTCTAGTGCCAAGTCAGGGCTTCAGGTGACTTTACACAGGAAAAAAATGAAGAAGATGAGGACAAAATTAAATTGCCCCACATGCATTTCCTTCTTTTAAAAATAATCTAAATTTCTTTTTTTTAAATAAGATACAATCACCGTATTTTTCAGACCATAAGATGCACCTAAGTTTTATAAGAGAAAAATAGGGGAAAATTTTTTGAAGCAAAAAAATGTGGTAAAATATTTAATAACATAAATAACATAATATTTTACTAGAGTTGGAAAGTAGGGAAAAGAATTTTGAAGCAAAAAAATGTGTTAAAATACTTAATCACATAACATAATATTTTACCAATGTAAATAGAACTCAACAGCAGCACTAACAACCATTATTCCTTCCAAATTTGGGGGGAAATAAGTGTGTCTTATACTCTAAAACATACAGTAACTGCATTTAACATGAAAAATACTTGATGTCTATATTGCAGTTACCAAATTTCTTCAACTGAGTTGTTTCATTTAATTTGCACAGTCACTCACCCAGTAAAACCTAGTGGCCCCTGTCATACAGATGAAATGATGGAGGTGGGGACTGTACCCCTAGTCAGTTTCAAAGCTCGACTGAACCTCAGCCTTTGATTGAAAGTCTAGGGCTTTTCCTACTCACCTTCCAAATGAGGTTTAAGAAGTCTATAGCTTTAGGAATCTAATATATGGTGACAGAAGGTGTTTTTGGATTTGGGTGGTGGTCACACAGTGCTTGCAACCTAGAAATGTGCACTTGAAATCTATATGATTCTATTAACCAATGTCACCCCAATAAACTTAATAAACATCTTTTAAATGAGAAATCTCTGACGGCATCTATATACAGTGTCCCCTAACTCACAGACACATTTGTGGCTTACATTTCAGTGGGAATCTGCCCAAGACAATGTAAAGTTGAAGACACAGAGTAGACATTGAATACCGTGATTGCCCAGAACAGGTAGCACCTGTCATGAGTTTCTTAATGAGAGTCAGTTACACACCTTCACTAACCCGTATGTTATACTCGTAATTACTGTTTGCTACAATCCTTGAGAAGAATGGGTGGGAAGCACACTTGGGGCTGGGCTCCTTGGTGCATGTGGCAATTCCTGCTGCACAAGTTGACAGATGTGCCACTGAAACTTGGCTCAGGTAGCAAAGGACTCGGGAGGGGCCACCAGGGTCCTCGTCTCCCTGGCACTCCATGTTAGATTTGAATTTGCTGTGCCATTAAAACCAAATTGTTTGTGACTACACAGTGCAAATAGTTTGATATCGATCACAAAAATCAATGAGAACAAAGAGAAAACAATAAGTCCAAGGAAACTTTCTGTCCAAAATGACCAGTTTTCCACTACTCACCCCCCCACACACACACACAGACACACACACACACACAATGAAAAGCAGTTTCTGGTATTTGATGACTTTCATAGTGAATACTTGTCTATTATGGAGTACTAAACTATTTATTGAACTATCACTTCACTCAATGCAACAAGAAGTTTGGCTGATTTTTCTTAAATTCACCAATTAATTAAATTCAATACGTATATTCTGGTATTAAATGACCTAACCCAGAAAACTGCTTAATTTCTGATTATTTTAGAAAAAAACTCAGCCAATTTTTTAAAATATTTGTATTCAATGGATAGATTATTTTTCATTACTTAAAATAATATATTTAAAATATCCTAGCTGTTCCCATTAAATTCGGTGTCAAAACACTAGCTAGTAAAGAATATACACATTCTAACCTCTTCAATAAAACTAATATCAAAACTCTAATGTACATTTTGGTTTGGTTCACGTCGTTAAAGATTTGGTTAAATATTCAGGCATTTGCTGGCTTCTGAGATTCAAAATTAAGTCTTGCTATATACATTTAATTCAAATCTTGAGCTAAAATATATCCAGTCAAACAACTAAACAAGAAAACACCACTAAATGTTTACTTACCCTCTAAAAACATCATGCACTTGACATTTCATTAGTAAGAACAGAATCACACTGTATTGGTAAGAGCAGTGAGGAAAGAGGAGAAGCACACAGAAATCTCTGAAATACCTTGTCGTCGCCGAGGTGCTCTCTGACCGGAAGCACGCCCGTGGAGTGTTGTCAGAGTTCACACACAGTGATGACTGGTTTTATAAAGCTTGGCCCCTCCCACAGAGCATTTTTTTCTCTCTTTCTAATCTGAAAGCTTTTGAGTGATTCAACATTTTAGTCAGAAAGGCATCACTAGAATAGAAATGCCTGTTTGCTAGGGAACCATTTAAGAAATTTGCTGGGAAAGTGATGTCACTCAGAAACTTATGAATTTAGTAATTTCTACATGTGCCTTTTGAAATGGGCTAAAGGCTGTCCACCCCACCTGCACTCAAAGACACCACCAAATTCTACAACATCTCCGGTGTCTTTTTGACACGATTGCCTGTGGGCCTTTTTCAATACACAAAAGTATTGGATTCCTTTTTCTCTTTTGATTCTAGCAACCCCCGAGGGAACCTCTGGTCATGGGAAGAGAAAGAAAACCTTTTTTCTTTGAAATTCTCTACTTTAAAATCTTCCATTTTTCTCAAGCTCTAATTTCCTGAATAATTCTGGGTCCCACCCTAATCCCCTGTCACCAGCCACACCCAAAGCTCTTTGCTTTTGGCCTTTTTTTAGAACATAGATATTATCTTACTAAACAGTGAAAATCCACAGTGTACTTTAAGTGGATATTTAACTCTCGGTAAATCATAGGTGTGTTGATTGAAAATTGTGATGTTGAAAACTTCCATAAGAAAATTGCTAGATTTTTTTGTAGACACAACCAAAGAAATCTGAGGAACAAAAATAAATAATATGAATGGAAATGTAATTTGACTCTGAAAATATTCATGTCATTAGAGCTTATGGGAAAGAAAGTGTTTGCAACACATCGTAAATATGGCTTCACTTCTCCTTCCTTTACTTTTATGTCCAGCCAATCCCCAAGGACAGGATGAAGAGAAGTGAGCGTACCAGGCTTCTTCTCAGCCAGTGTGGGAGGCTCCAGGCCTGTGTGTGGAGAGCTTACTTGACAATCTGAGGTGTCAGTGAAGCCAGGACTGCGGAATTGAGTCCTGGGCGGTCGTCTCAGCTTGGCTGTGGTTCATGAAGCCAGCTTTATCCTGATCTTCTCTTGCTTCTGTGAGTTGCTGGTCAAAAAGATGTGGGGTCACTTAACCCAAACCTCTCATTATTACTGGAGGGACAATGACAAAGGTGTGCTCTTCAGAACTTTGTCTAATCGTCAAAAGCCAAATTACAGTCATGTGCCTCTTTAATGATGAGGGTAAGATCTAAGAAATGCATCAGCAGGTGATTTCATCATTGAGCAAACACCACAGAGCACACTACACAAACCTAGAGAGTAGAGCCTGCCACACACCTCACTGGTGTGGTACAGCCTACTGCTTCTCCTCTGCACACCTGTACAAAGAAGCACAGGATCAAATCGAGCAGAAGAGAAAATGATGCCTTCAGGAAATATGGGGTATGTGAGGTCACTGCGATGTAACACAGCTACTGTTTTATGGCAGACTTATCCTTTTAAGCCTAAAGAGTAAATTTTAAATAACAATAAAAGTGTAGTATAAGTACATAAGCCAATAACGTAGTTGTTTATTGTCATTATCAACTTGTATGTATGTATGTAGGTACATAATTGTGTGCTATACTTTCATATGACTGGCAGCAAAGCATGTTTGCTCAGCCCAGCGTTGACACGAACATGTGAGAAATGTGCTTCACTACATGGCTACCATGTCACTGGGTGATAGGAATTTTTCAGCTCCATTTATAATTCTATGGGACCACCACTGAGTATGCAGTCCATCATTGACCAAAATGTTGGTGTGCAGTGCATGGCTGTATTTGAGTGTTTAATTGCTCGAAGATCTCGGGTCACACAAAGAAAAAGAGCTGGGAAGTCCACCCTCAACAATGATCTTTCAACAATCATGTTCCTTCAGTAGACCAAAGGAAATGTGTGGGCAGTCACTGACCATTTTATAAGTTTTCATATCCCTTGGACCTCGGCCAGTTCTCTGCATGGGTGAGCGTTGAGTAGATGCTCTTTCTTGGGGGTCTAGGTCTCTGTCCCTTATCTATGTCAGTTCCCTGGACCCCCACTGACAATGTCTATGTCACCAGTCTGTTCAACTGTTCCTTAACCACACTTTTTCAGCGACACAGTCTGCCGAACCAATAGCAAACCTGCCTAGAGCTTTGCTTTGCCTACTTTGCAGGCACTGCTCTTTCTATCCCTTGCTTATACTCAAGCTCTTCTTCTCAAAGGGAATGTCATCTTTTCTCCTCCCTCCTTATCCAAATATCCTACCTCACAGCTTTTGTGAAATTCAGCCTGACTTCTGCAATCCTTGGTGAACTTCTGCAACATAGAACTGCCCCTCTGAGAGCTGAGCTCACAATATAATAATGTAGTATTAATTCCAGTTGTTTTTATCTGAGCCAGGATTCTATTTCTAACTAGAGTCTACCATTGTTTCCCCCTCAGCAGCAAGAACAGTGCTGAGCATCAATGGGCACTTTACTAAAGATTTTTGATGAATTGAGTAAGATGTTAAAACATCTAGAGCCCTTTAGAAGGGCTCTAGAGTGTGGTGAGCTACATTTTGAGAGACTCCAAAAAGTCTGATTTGAAACTTCCCTCTCTTTTTTCTTTATTCTAACCTGAGGACATTCTTTTATTGCTTTTAGAGAAAGGGGGAGAAAGAGAGAGGAAGGGAAACATCAATCAGTTGCCTTTCTATATGTGCCCTGACTAGGGCTTGATCCTGAGACCTTTAGGTCTGTGGGATGATGCTCCAACTGAGCCACAGCAAGGGCTGAAATTCTCTCTCTCTCTCTCTCTCCACTTTTTAGTTGTACAATCCTGCACAAATTTCTCAACCTCTCTGAGCTTTAATTTCCTAATAATGCTATATGGCTGGTACTGCTCATTGCCTACACAAAAGCCATCTATTTTTTTTATTCTTCCTGATTTTGTTTAGGTATTATTCAGAGATTTCTTGACCTTAGCAAAGGAGGGCCTAGTTGCTGGTCTGAGGATGCGGCTGTGTAACCCAGTCTGGTAAATGAGATGTGGGAGACGTCTTCTGGGAAATGTTTAGGGAAAGTTTTCCTTTCCTAATAAGAGACATGCAAAGAGAAACTCCCTGGCCTACACCACACCTTCCTACCTGACTTTGAACATGGTTTTCTGAGGATGTGATGCCCGGAGATGCTACAGCCCCATGGCAACAATAGAAGAAGGCGAAGATATTTGAAGAGAAGCCAAACAAGAGCCCTGACATGAGAGAACTTCTAAGCCAAAGTAGAAACCACCCACCTGCAGGTTTTGTTCTCATTACAGGAGATAAGAAATAATAAGTGTGCATTGTTTAGGCATTGTTAGACACTTTGGTTCCTCTGTCATTTGCAGCCAAAAGCATTCCCAAATGACACAAACTTTTGTGAAGAATAGATGAGATAATGTCTGTTAAGAACTAGGCATATTATCATTCATTTACTGAATGTTCCATAGTGTTAGGTGGTATAGCAGAATGACGGTTGGTGGCCAGATGTAGGAGTTGCCTTCCTGTCTAGATTGGAGAAATTGTATGAGCTCAGTATGAGATGTTTGCACACTAATCAATTAGATGATGTTATAAAGGGCAATATGTGATTAAGAGCTAAATTGAGTAGTGCCAATGGTGTCTAGTATGCCTTAGGAAGGAGGGAAAAGGACTGAGAAATGTGTGGTAGGACTTCCAAAAAGGGGTCAAGACAAGTGAAAATGATTGAATATTGAAAGAGGAAGGCACTAAAATTATAGAGGTGAGAAGAGAGATCCCTGAGTGGCTGGCTGAGGTCTGCCTGGGGCAGAGTCAGTGTGATAAGGGAATGTGAGGAAAGGGGACAGATGGTGTCTTGCCTTGCAGAGGGGCCTCTGACTTCAGCCTGAGCTAAGATTTAATCTAAAGTCTGTCTGCTACAAACTCTGGAGAAGGGAAGTGACTTGTAAAAAGTGGTGTTTTAACCATACACCAAAATAAACTCAAGATGGATAAATGACTTAAATGTAAGTCATGACACCATAAAAGTCCTAGAGTGAAATGCAGGCAGTAAAATGTCAGATGTCCCACACAGCAATATCTCCGAGGGCAAGGGATCTAAAGGAAAGAATGAACACATGGGACTACATCAAACTAAAAAGCTTCTGCATGGCTAAAGAAACATCAGAAAAACGAAAAGGGACCCACTGTATGGGAGAACATGTTTGCTAATGATACTTCTGACAAGGATTTGATCTCCAAAATACAGGGTCTGGCATGAATTATGCTCCTTTTTTATTACAAAATCATAAGCATGTAATTCTGTAACTGAACTATATCACATTCAGGCACACCATATGACATTTTAGGTAAATGTTTACATTAAAACTATCAATTATTACGTTCATATTAGTACCCTACCAACCACACTCAAGCAGGCCTTACTTCTGCCAGACCCTGTATATAAAGAACCCATATGACTGAACACCAGGAAGACCAACAATCCAATTAAAAAATGGGGCAAAGGACCTGAACATACACTTCTCCAAGGAGGACACACAAAAGGCCCAGAGACATATGAAAGAATGCTCAACATCACTAGCCATCAGAGAGGCTAGTGTTGGAGAGGTTTTGGAGAAAAGAGAGACCTAGTACATTGTCAGTGGGAATGCAGACTGGTGCAGCCACTGTGGAAAACAGTATGGAATTTCCTCAGAAAACTAAAAATAGATCTGCCTTTTGATCCAGTGATTCTACTGCTGGGATTATACCCTAAGAACCTATGCACCCTGGTGTCCATAGCAGCACTATTTTAGCCAAGTGCTGGAAACAGCCTATGTGCCCATCAGTAAATGAGTGGATCAAAAAAACTGGTACATTTATACAATGGACTACTACACAGTAGAAAGAAAGAAGGAACTCCTACCTTTCACAACAGC